GCTCTACCACTGAGCCAACTTCCCAGCCCCTGATTTATATTTTTTAACCATTCCCACCATTGATGAATTTACATTAATATAAAGATGGCCTTCAAAAATAGACTGACAGTAGATTAACAGGCTGCCACTCTAAAAGATGGTGTTTAAAGTTTCTTATTAGCAGCTCCATTTACCTTGGTACTTTTTTCCTATTCCTCTTTGGCAATCTTTTGACCTTAGTACCTATTCCTCTGACATCTATCTAGATAGGGTGATATCTATAAATCTTGGCAATAGATCAGCTCAAGAAACAGGGTCACAATATTGGTCTCTCCTATTCTATTCTGAAGAGCATTTGGACAGCTACTTGAACCATTTATCATGAGTTTGTGAGCTACAAGAATATTTTCCAATTGGCTATTATTCTCTTTATTGTTTTGCTGAAGAAGAGCTACTAGGCTTTAAAACTGATTCACTTAAACAAACAATCTACATGCTGGTACAAACTTAAAAATTAAAGCACTACTTGAAAATGTACTGACATCACCTATGCAATCAAATTCTGCTTTGGAAAACAAATTCAGAATTACTCATGAGTGATATGCAATCAGTAGTACAATTTGAAACCCAAAGACAAATTTTAAAGACAAGTAGAAAAACACCTTTATGTGCTCAAAGAAATTTTCGTCATTAGTTTATAATTATTCAGAAGAAAAAAGTTCAATTGAATGAGAAATCCATTCTAGCATGAGAAATTTCAAGATGACATACAATGAATGAGAGAGAACAAGAACTGCTGGAGTCCAAGAATGAGTGAGTGTGCTCTTGAATATCACTTTTAAAAAACTGAACCACCTTTCTGCTTAAAGGTGAGAAAGGGACTTCTCTCATTAGAGAAAAAGCACTAATTCCTCTCTTCTGAAGCTTACTACAACAAAACTACTGTGGGGGGGCCGGGGGGTATGCATGTGTGAGCATGTGCATGCCAGTCTTGAGGCTTGAACTCACAGCACTGTCCCTGAGTTTTTTGCTCAAGGCTAGCTAGCACTCTATCTACCACTTGAGCCACAGCTCCACTTCTGGCTTGTACTGAGATTAGGTGGAGTTAAGTGTCTCACCAACTTTCCTGCCAAATCTTAGCCTTTTGAGTGGCCAGGATTCCAGGCATAAGCCAGCCACCAGTGCCCAGCCACAACAACATTTCTAATGGATGAGAAAACAATTTATTTTTTTTCTGTTTTCTTTTCAGATCTGAGCCTACACAGATAACTAAGTGAGATTAGTGACCTTGAGTGAAAGACTGGAAAATTTCATAGAAAGCTCTGGGTCTCAAGAGCAGATGGTACAATTCATCAATATATCAATACTTTATGATATAAATACTACTGTTTCTGCCTTAATGAACATTATAAAGAAGATATACCACCACTAGAGCAAGTAATGAACCTTCACCAATTCATTCTCATTGTGCATCATCTAGTCATCTACACAAATATCCATATGCAAACCTCTACACTGTGACCAGACTCAAACCAATGTGACTTTAAAAACTCGAACCCACTGCTTATATATTTATTTGACCTAGAAAGGCATTAGAGAGCCATGTCTTCATTACCGTAGTACACATTTGTATGTATGAGAGCTGTAATTTATTGATTCTCCTATCTCTTTCCCTCAGAGTCAGTTCAAAACAATTAGGATTTGCAAGCTGTTCCATAAAAGATAAGCACCCAGCATTAAGAATGATATTTCACAAACACTAGTGTTTGTGAAGTAAATGATTGCTTCTTTTGCCTCCCAGCACCTGAGCTGTTTCTATCCAAGGCAACTGTCCTCAAAGAAGATGTTCAAGGTAATGTTCCTGATATTTAGTAGGGAAATGGGTAACGTACTTTAGCTTAATCATCATCCAAGTTTAGAACACATTTCTCACAATCCAATAGCTGTAAGACTTGAGACCTTCATCTCACCCTTCAAGTGTCACAGACAAGGAACCAAAAGAAAAAGAAAAACATCACCACATGTAATTATCAGTTCCACTTGTCTTCTTTACATGAGTGTTCTTCTATAACTTCAGCTCCTCAAACTCTTGTGCTACATTTCTGTAAGACCAAAATCAACTGTCCATTCCATTAGCCAGTTCTCTGTTAAACAGTGAATAAAGTACTCCACAAGAAATGGAATCAAAGGGATTTAAAACAGACTCATGTATCATTTACTGAACTGTTTCTATTAGAAATCAATGATAAAATTAGCAGCTGGTGGCTCACTCCTGCAATCCTAGCTGCTCAGGAGGCTGAGATCTAAGGATTGCAGTTCAAAGCCAGCCCAGATAAGAACTCATCTACAATAAACCGCCTGAAAACCGAAAGCGGTGCTGTGGCTAAAGTGGTAGAGCACTCACTTAGAGCTGAAGAGCTGAGGAACAGTGTCCAGGCCCAGAGTTCAAGTTCCACAACAGACCCAAACAAAAAACGGGGAAAGGAAGGGGAGGGGAAGAGGAAGAGGAAGGGGAAAGGGAAGGGGAAGGGGA